CATATATATATATATACATATATATATACATATATATATAAATATATATACATATATATAACAATATATATATATTTATATACATATCACAACATAACAATATAATAAAAGAAATGTATATATATCTATACAACATATATATATATATCGAGTATTGTAGACATATGCTCATAAATGGGATTATAAAACATAGCCCGAAACGCAAGCAAGAACAATGAACACCTATGTGAACCGCTGCTCAGTCTCTATTGTCGGTCAATGATCTCTATGAAATCCCAGACTCGATTGTAATCCAACCATGCAATTCGAAATTGCGGAGATATTGAAAAAATAAAACTTAGTTGGAGATCAGAAAGTTTATTTCCGGTGGCAAGTTTTCGTCGACGGAGAATGACGCCGAGTCGCACATTGGTGTACAACTCTATACAGACACGACGGCTTGCCAAGGGCACAAATCCTTTATACATCTGTGACTAGAGAACCATTGCAGTAATATAGAGAGACACAGAGTAACACAGTGGACTGCCGGCTGTAGGGACCCACCGCCGGCAACCCTAAAACCCTAAAATCCGATGGAAGCGCAAATGACGAGCCTTACCAAGACGTAATCACGACGTACAACAGGGAACGCTCATACCCCTAACGTACTCGCAAACCCAATGAGATATACGACGCTTTCATTATTATGATAATACTAGGTGTGTCGTTGTCATGGCAACACCCGAGTACTAAACGCCCCGATACAACCGAAGACAACAACTCACGGGCAGATCGAGACCGGCCCCCGGCCCCAGCTGGTTTGTAGTCACGGATTGTGGAACTAAAACTTCGCAATGCTCACGCGAGTGCCCTTTGGAGTATAGACGCACTTCTCTATCTCGGGACGACTCGCGAATGGTCCAGACGTCGCCAGCTAACCCAGAGAAGTAAAACCCTGGAATAGATAGCCTCAACCTGGTCGCAGAGTGGACTCTTTCTTCTTATCGTAGGCAGGAAGTGTAGTGTGTGCCACGGCGCACTTATTGGGCGCAAAAGGCCTTCAACTCTGCATTGTGCGGCATGGGAGAATTAGGGTTTAGGGTTTTTAGGGTTTCAACTCTGAATGGTGTGACGTGAGAGATTTGGTAGCCAGATGAGGTTGTTAGAAGACTGGTGCCGGTTTGTTAAAACAAACACACCAGGTGAAACAGGAAACTCTCGTCTTGCTAGGCGTAGCACAATCGGTACTCACACTGACGGCGACCATCTATCACACACAACAGATAGCACTCTCATGCCATACGGAGTTTGATACCAGTGATAATATTTAAAACTTACACAGCAGCAAGCAGAATCACAAAGGCGCATAAGACACAACACGGAACAAACCACACACACGGCTGGCACAGATGTACAACATTTAAGCGTGGTGCATCTAGCACAATCCAGGTGACTATGATCAACGGAGGCATACCGGAGGATATTGATTCCATAGCTCGACCAGTAATAGTACACAACCCATATTGACGCATTGCTTGTACTCATGACCAAATATAACATTTTCATACTCTGATCCACCTGTCACAAAAATAGCTAGCCGGTGCAACACCCTGCAGAACTACTGTGCGCTACGACAGACAGTCATTAACATAAAATGCAGCATACAGCTTCCCCTAACGTAATAACACCCAAGCATTGCTATCTCCCCAGTGATTAAACGGTTGCAGACTTACGTTCCACAATATCCAGATACTGTTTGGCAACTATCGTATCTGGATAGGTCTCGATGAATGGCTTCCCTTCATCACAGCACTGACCCACTCGCGGGTCTAGGGAGACTCGGCCCAAAAACGGACAGTCCAATTTCTCGGACATCAGGGCAGCCCCACCGGTGGTGGCAGGGAAGATCTGCGATTCGGTTTTGCACCCAGGACATACGAACCCGCTCATGTTCTCTATCACGCCAATGATTGGCACGCCCACTTTCCTGCAGAACGCGATCTCCTTCCGCACATCCGCTAGGGCTACCTCCTGTAGAGCATACGTACACGTGTGTATGTCAGTCACAAATACAAGGGTGGAGTATAAGGACACATACCACAACGTGCACGGGTGTATAAGTACAAGTTATGTCAGTCTCACTCACAAGACTCGAGTATAACAACACATGCCACAACGTACAAGTTATGTCAGTCCCACTCACAAGACTCGAGTATAACAACACATGCCACCACGTGTGCGGTTGAAAAGTCCTGGTGGGTGATATGACGGGAGAGTCCTGTGGCATGTGCTCAGGCTGATACAGCCCGCCGGTATAGAGAGCACGACCATCGCAACATACAAACGTAAACGCCAAACCAGCACAGCAACACCTGTGTGTGTCAGGGGAGACACCCAATACGTTTACTGGTACCAAACGGTATTTACAATCAGACGAATATTCTCACACACGGCACAACAGGCAGACACGGTTCGTATAGGAACTTAAATCTACATGTATGTAGCGTACAAGTACCGAACTATAAGTCTAGATATTACCGTACGCTTTGTTTGCGCAATAGATGCGGAGCACCAGTTACACAGATGATTTATGATTAAAAACCTGACGCGAAATGCGACGGTTAGGTCTCAATTACCAGAAATATTCTTCATCGTTCGCAGGTAAAGAACCAGCATTTACACACGCACAAACAAACACACATATTAAAAACATATATATATATACATATATATGTATATTATAAATATTT